TGTCTCTGCCTGAATCGCGGTGCAGACTATTCAGGCCGGCCAGAAAGGCCCGTGACGCTGCCGAGGCGCTCGTCGAGGGCGATGCTCCTCCCCTCCCTCCTCTGTCCTGCGCCTCCGTCCTCCGTCCTCCGCTCCCCCCTTCCCTGTTTGAGCCGTGGTGTCATCCAGTCTGCCCAGCCGCAGGGCCGATGATGATGCAGCTGCGACGGTCGTCGAAGGCGATGGTCTTCCCTTCCCTCCTTCGTCCTCCGCCTCTGCCTCCGTGCTCCGCCTCCGTCCTCCGCTTCCCCCCCTGCTTCAACCGTGCCGCAGGCCAGCCAGAGGACCAGTGATCGGCCGAGAGGCTCGTCGAGGGCGGTCCCCCTCCCCTCCCTTTTCCGTCCTCCGCCTTCGTCTTCCGCCTCCCGCCCTCCCCTCCCGTCCCCCCTGTCTCAGCGGTGGCGCAGTTTTGTTGTGTTTTGATGGGCCAACTGGAAGGCCAGTGATGCGGTAGTAACGCTCGTCGAGGGCGGTCCCCCTCCCCCCCCTCGTCCGTGCTCCGCCGCCTTCGCCTCCTCCTGCTCTCCTCCTCGGTGTCCAGTGTTGGTGGTTCTACGCAGTGGTAATTAGCATGATGCCATGCATGATGCTTCTTGTCTTTCCTGGGTGGCGTTGCGCTGAAAGAGCGTCGTTCTCCGGATTGCGCGCGCCATCCGCCTGCGGGCCCGCTGCTTCTGTGCGCGCCATCCAACCTGCGTCCCGCCAAATGTACGTGTCGGGCGCTGCGCCCCGTCTTGCCTGGAAGTCCGCGGTTGGCCCCCTGCGGGCTCGAGCTGCTGCCCCCTCGTTCCGGCGCAGATCCTCCTCCCCACGTCTCGTCGTTTCCTCCCTTTTTCGCCTCCTCTCCCCTGGCGGGCTTCGATTCTCCACTTCACCGTGTCGCCGTCCCAGATGGTTGCAGTCTGTTGCAGTGTGTTGCCAGTCGCTCATGGCTTGGCTCCTCTGCTTCGGCAGGAGGCGCTGCGCAGGTTCTCTGTGCTGATTTGCTCCCTCTCGTCTCTCCTTCCTCGCTCTCTTTTTCCTTCTCCTCCTCCTCCTCCTCCTTTCTTCTTTCTCCTCCTCCTCCTTCCTCGCTCTCTTTTTCCTCCTCCTCCTCCTCCTCCTCCTTCTCCTTTCTCCAACCTGTGATGCGCCAGTTTTGTGCGGCGTCTCGTCCACGGCAGCTGCTCATTCAGCTGTCCAGGTCATTCTTGTTTGGCCAGCCCGCTCAGTCGTGGTGCTGTCTCGCCTGCGCGTCGAGTAGCAGGGCAGTCCACAACGTGCGCGGGTTGAGTTCCCAGTGTCCCTTGTGCTCGGTGCTTGAAGTTATTTTCCGGCTTTAAACTCGCTGTGGAACGGGTTGTGTTTGGAGCGCAACCTGATACTTCCGTGGCTGATGGTGAGTAGTCGACGTGCGTGGTGATAGCCCCTACGAGGGGAAGTGGATTTGGCATTGCTCGCTCATCGATTGTCACTCGGCGCCACCATTGGTCCCGCTGATGGAAACAGCTGTAGTAGGGGCTGAAGGTCGGCAGCTCGCAGTGCTGCTCGTGGTGGTACTTATGCGCGAAAGCATCTAAAATTATCCCAGGGATATCGGTGCTGCTCGTGACCTGACTCGGCTCGAAGACCTGGGCGGCGGGGTTGAGGGTGATAAAGGCCGTATCGATCCAGCATCCTGGCGGCGCTGCCGGGGCTGGACTGGTGCCAGTCATCTCGATGGTGGTGCACTTGTCGTTGTCGTCGCGGCTCTTGCCGCCGAGGTTGTACTCGAGGATGGCGGCCACCTCTCTCCAGTCCTTGGCACTGACTGGGCGGTCGCGCCGCGCGCCGTCCCCGAGGCGGGCGCAGGCCTCGCGCAAAGCCTTCCCTGCGCTGGGAGGCCGCCTGGAAAGCCCGCCGCCCGGATGCTTCTCGATAGTTGGCGTGGAGTCGCGGGCGACACGACCGCGGTCGCAGGCGCTGTCGCCCGGCGCCGTGTCGCGAGCTGGCCCGGTGCCACGCTTGGCCGGCCGCCCCCCTGCGGGACCCCCCCGCCCCTTCGGAGGGGCTCGGCGGAGAGGTCCCTCCCGCGAGAGGAAGCGGCTATGCCAAAATGGCTACGGATCCTCATCGCCCCCCCCCTCCTCCTCCTCCTCCTCCTCCTGACCCTCCTCCTGTTTCACCTGCTCCTCCTGCTCATCCCCCTCCTCTCTCCTCCTTGCTCGTCCTTCTCACTCCTCCGGCCTCCTGCCTCCTCCTCCTCCTCCTCCTCCTCCTCATCTTGCCTCCTCCTCCTCCTTCTCCTCCTCCTCCTCTTTCTCTTTCTCTCTTTCGGCCCTGGTCCTCCTCCTCCTCCTCCTCCTGCTCATCATTATCAGCAGCAGCAGCATCATCATCAGCAGCATCATCATCCTCATCGTCCTCCTCCTCCTCCTCCTCCTCCTTTTCGATCCTCCAGCCCTGCCCGCCCGAGATATTCCCGTCCGCGCGCAAAAGCACCGAGATCCTCACGTGCAAGGACTCCGCCCTATGCAGGGCTGTCCCGCCCGGAGGGAACACCCGCGCCCGCGGTCATCCCGACATCGTTGTCGCCGCCGACATTATCGTCGTGGTCGTCGTCGTCGTCCTCCTCCTCCTTCTCCCTCCTCCCTCCTCCCTTCTCTCTTCTCCCTCCTCTTCTTCCTCCTCCTCCTCATCCTCTTCTTCCTCCTCCTCTTCCCCCCTCCCTCCCCCTCCTCTTCCTCCTCCTCCTCCTCCTCCTCCTCCTCCTCTCCTCCTCCTCCTACTCTTCCTCTTTCTCCTCCTTCTTCTCTTCCTCCCCCGCCTTCTCCGCATCCTCATCCCTATCTCTCTCTCTCTCTCTCTCTCCTTCCAGTTCCGCTTTCTGGGTCATTGTATGCCGCCCACTCGGTTTCGAGTTCAGAATTCCCGCTTCCTTGTGTGCCGCCGATGTTGGTGCCCCGAGTTCCTGGTTCCCAGTGTTCCCCCATGTAAAAAAAAACATAGAGTGTGTGTGTGTATGTGTGGGGGGGGTGTCTGTGTGTCTGTGTGTCTGTGTGTGTGTGGTGTGGTGTGTGTGTGTGTGTGTGTGTGTGTGTGTGTGTGTGTGTGTGTGTGTGTGTGTGTGTGTGTGTGTGTGTGTGTGTGTGTGTGTGTGTGTGTGTGTGTGTGGGGGGGTGTCCGTGTGTCATCGGGCGCGCAGCAGGTGTAGCGAATGTAAACACGCTCGGAGGTGAATAATGTGTGGATATGTTTCTTGCAGCGATCGTAGAGAATGAATGTCGTGCAGAAGCTGTCAAGAGTGTGTGTATTCTAGGGAACGTGGAACGTGCAGAGAGCGTAAACAACGCACGATATGATTAGGGAGTGGACAGAGAGAGTGGTGAGCGCAAGCAGTACATAATAGGAAAAAGGCAGACATCATGGAGTGCAGAGAGTGAGTAGAGCAATCGGAGAAATACCAGAGGGTACAAAGCGTGGACGTGCTGTTCCAGGACCTTCCCCCCCCCGATGCTCGGGCCTGAGGACGAAGGGAGGTAAACCTCATTTCGTTATTAGGGCCCAGAGCGTGGGGAGTCGAGAGTCTCCTCGATCCTCCTCGATCCTCCTCGAACCTGGACTCTCATCAGTGCTCCTCTGTCCGCCTAAGGGGCTTGGGCAAGAGGAGGGTGCGAAACCTGCTCTGCACCTTGCTGCTGCCCTCGGCCCCGCCGCTGGGCACTGGCCTCGAGGCACGTGGGCGTCTCTGACGCCGGGTGGCGCCAGGAAAACCCGCTGCGTGCGCTGCTTCGCGACCCCCCCACGCTGCCGAGGCTTCTCGCCCGCAGCTCGCCGCCCTCCCCCCTCGCTGGGGCGGCCTCTCTGCCCGCAGCGCGCAGCCCTCCCCAGTTTCCTCATTCTCCTCCTCCTCTTCCTCCTTCTCCTCCTCCTCCTCCTTCTTCTTCCTCTTCTTCCTCCTCCTCCTTCTCCTCCTCCTCCTTCTTCTCCTTCTCCTCCTCCTCCTCCTCCTCCTCCTCCTCCTCCTCCTCCTCTTCCTTCTCTTCCTCCTCCTCCCCTCTCCTTCGCCTCCTCATCTTCCTCCTCCTCCTCCTCCTTCTCCTCCTTCTCCTTTCCCGCCGCCTCCTCCTCCTCCTCCTCCTCCTCCTCCTCCTCTTCCTTCTCTTCCTCCTCTCCCTCTCCTTCGCTCTCCCTTCTCTCTCCTCCTCCTTCTCCTCCTCCTCCTTTCCCGCGCGCCTCCTCCTCCTCCTCCTCCTCCTCCTCCTCCTCCTCCCTCCTTCTTCTCTTCCTCCTCCTCCCTCTCCTTCGCCTCCATCATCTTCCTCCTCCTCCTCCTCCTTCTCCTCCTTCTCCTTTCCCGCCGCCTCCTCCTCCTCCTCCTCCTCCTCCTCCTCCTCCTCTTCCTCCTCCTTTGCTTACAAGGCGCGATGCGATTCGATTCGGTCCCCCCCCAGGATGCCGAGTCCTGCTGCCCTTCCCAGAGCCGCTCCCTGGGCGCTCCGCCTCGGAGCGGCCGTCCTCGAAGGAGGGCACTGCCAGGCGAGTGCCACACCCCATGGGCGCGAGAGTCGACGAGCGCTGAGGAGGAGGAGGAGGAGGAGGAGAAGGAGGAGGAGGAGGAGGAGGAGGAGTAATAGGAGGAGGAGGGAGGAGGAGGAGGAGGAGGGGGAGGAGGAGGAGAGGAGGAGGAGGAGGTGTAGGAGGAGGAGGAGGAGGAGGAGAGGAGGAGGAGGAAGGGGAGGAGGAGGAGGGAGGAGGGAGGAGGAGGAGAGAAGAAGGAGGACGATGATGATGATGATGATGATGATGATGATGATGATGATGATGATGATGATGATGATGATGATGATGATGATGATGATGATGATGATGATGATGATGATGATGATGATCATGCTGATGATGATGATGATGATGATGAGGAGGAGGAGGAGGAGGAGGAGGAGGAGGAGAAGCACGAGGAGGAGAGGGGAAGACAGAGCAGGATGAGCGCCGGGGTCCTACGGCGGTCCGCGCCGTTAGCGTGGCAGCTGTCAGCGCCGCGCCCGAGGCGTCGTGGGCTGCGGCGTGCTCGGGTTCACCAGCCGCTGTTCCCCTTGCCGTTTGGCTCGAGGTCCTTGGATAAAGGCCCTTCGGTGTCATCCATGGTATCTTCGGACATCGAACACTGCCACTCCTTGCTCTAGGGCGCACGTGCACCCATTCATGATGTGCCGCACCAGCTTTCTCGCCGAGGCAGTTCTCGTGTTCGTCTTGAGCGCCCAAGCTGCAGCGTGGTCCAAGGATAAATGGGTGGAGGCATTCGGGAGCAAGACGGGCTTCAGCAAGGCTTACCCTGCCTGGTTACAGGGTGTCTCCACAGAAGGGGACGGCTACTGCAACGTGGCTGCTGATTACGGATGTGTCGTCGGCGTTGGCGAGGGCATTTGCTATATCCTTGTGAACCCGGGCGACTACGCAGTTCCGCTGAGCAGCACCGACTCCGGGTATAAGGTCCAGTTCTCTGGGTCCGCCAGGTTCGGGCTGGAGTTGAGGAAAAAGGAGGGCTTGACCAAACCAAACAGGAGGGGGGTACCGAGGCCTAATTAGTGTGCCTTTTTAGTCGGAGTCTTTAACCCAACGAAGATAAGACAGTCTGTTCTTTAGTTTGGTCAGGGCTTCCTTCGCCCCGAAGGACCGAGGCACAGCCCAGAACCTCAAGTCCGACCAGAACATCACGGTCACTACTAGTTCACCGTCATCTCACTGGAACCTTTGCTGGAAGAAAGATGGAGACTATCCTTTTAGTGCTTGGGCAAGGGATGGAAAGCCCCAGCCAGAATTGGGCAGCGAAAGTCGAGGATTCCGGGGAACGAGCGTTGAGGATTATTGTTACTTCGTCAACGGCCTCTGTTTCTTGTGGGTTTCTCCGTGCTCTGGCGGGTGTGCCTCGCTGGGTGCTCTGACGGGTCCTCTGGCGAACCCCTTGTACGCGACGTTTTGCCCCGCCGGGTTGCGCTACGCCTCAGCAGATGAGTGGGCGGATGCTGAGCCTACTCTAATTGCAAACAAATCTGCTTTCCATGCCAAGTGCGCGGCTGAAGTGATCGATCCAACCTACGACCACTGTGACGAGATCAATAAGTTGGTGCGGGTGCCGAATGGTGGATACGATGAACAGGTCCTGGTGTGCGGGGACGCCCAGACGTTTTCCAGCCCGACGCCCAGCCCGCCGCCGCCAGCCCCGGCGCCGTCCCCGCCGCCGTCCCCGCCCCCCCCCGCTGGCAGTTCGGGGGGCGTTCATGCCACTGGCGATCCCCACTTGCAAAATGTTCATGGTCAGCGGTTCGATTTGATGAAGCCGGGCACGCACACCCTGATAAACATTCCGAAGGGCGAGCTACACAACCAGCTTCTTCGCGTGCAGGCCAAAGCGCTCCGGCTGGGCGGATGCAAGGATATGTACTTCCAAGAGCTAAACATTACAGGTTCTTGGGCAGAGGCGGAGAAAGCTGGAGGGTACCGCCACGCCGTAGCGCAGCGTGTGGTCGAGACTCCTCAATGGGTTGCTTTCGGTACCGTTGAGCTGAAAGTCGTTCATGGATATACGAACAAACGCCTCGAGTATTTGAACTTCTACGTCAAGCACTTAGGGCGAGCTGGGTTTACGGTCGGAGGTCTACTGGGGGATGACGACCACACAGCCGAGAGCACTCCTTCGGGGTCATGTGCCCGGCGTGGTGTAGCTCTCCTGGAGTCAGACCCAGATTCCCAATACAGCTCGGTTGCAATGGCAACCTTTGCGTGACTTTGGGCACGTCTTGCATGGAGTTTTGCTTCGCTTCCTCCCTCTATCGCCCTGTGCCTCGCACCCCCCCAAGGGCGCTGCGGGCGGAGGAGCTGCCACCCTGCCGAGCGGCGACGAGCGACCCAGAGCCGCAGCAGTCACAAAAAGGAAAAGCGCCGGCGGCCCTCCCGCCGCCGCTGCCCAGGTGCTCAGGAGCTCGAGCGCCCCCCTCAGCTCGAGAAGCTGGCCAGGACGGGCCCGAGGGGGTTTGAGGGACCTGCTTTTTCTCATCTGGTGGGAGCCTCGAAAGACGAGACATCACCGACACTCCGACACTGGCATGCCGATTCCTCGTGTTTGTCTCTTGTCTGCAGTGCCGGCCCATCGGCGCCACCCCAACATACTTATACTCTATATGTGCGTCGCCCCCCCCCCCGCCCCCCGGGGTGACGCGCGCACCGAGAAATCCTGTAGTATACGCGTCGTGGCGGGCGCTTTCTGGCCACACCGCTGGGGAGACGATATACTACAACATGGGTATACTATATGTTCGGGTCGGACGCGCGCCTCCAAGGTGGACATGTAGTACTAGTGTGTGTCTGCGCGTCCCAGGTTCAGGTTGCGCGGAGCAGCTCGCTCGTCCGTCGGGGACCGCAGCCCGCGGGAAGGCGGAGAGAGAGAGGCCCCAGCCTCCTTGTGAAGGCGGCGGGGGCTCCTCCACAAGGCGCCCTCGCGCCTTCGGGGGAAGCCGATCCCGCGTAACTCGGGACGGTCGAGGTGGGTACGGAGAGAATGGGTACGATGCCCAACCCCAGACCTCCTCGCGTTTCGAAAAATCACGCCGGGAGGTTTTTCACTATTTTCGGCCTCCAGGGGCCCTTACCGGGCCTCGGGAGCGTAACAAAAACGACTCAGGATGAAAAACCGGTCCTGGGGAAGGGGTCCAGACCTCTGGGCGTCGATGTTGTGAACAAATCACGACTTCGGGGGTCTCTGACAGAAGCTCCTGTTCGTTCTGAACAGGAGCCGCTGTCCGCGCCGCCGCGGACGCTGTTCACTAAAGACAGGAGGCCGGCTGCCCAACAGCGGCCCCTGCCAGTGTTGGACAGCATTTGCTGTGAGGCACTGTGCCCATTTTTTCCGTACCCACTTCGGGCGTCCAAAGCATTGGGTTGGGCGGCCAACGGGGGGGCAGCGAGGCCTACAGACAAAGGGGTCCCAAGGGCCCGCATAGGGGCTCTTCAGGGCCCAGCGGGAGGCCACTGGAGCCTGAAATGTGCGCCATTTCTCCCCCCCGCCCAGCTATCGCTCCCCCGCCCAGCCGCGAAGCCGCTCTTCAGAAGGCGACACGGGTTTCCGAGAGGCTCCGCCGCCTTCCGAGAAGGCGGCCCCCCCCCTCCCCCCCACCGGCAGAGGAGGAGTAGGAGGAAGAGGAGGAGGAGGAGGAGGAGGAGGAGGAGGAGGAGGAGGAGGAGGAGGAGGAGGAGGAGGAGGAGGAGGAGGAGGAAGGAGGAGGAGGACGGGGAGGGGAGGGGAGGGGGAGGAGGAGGAGAGGAGGAGGAGGAGGAGGAGGAGGAGGAGGAGGAGGGAGGAGGAGGCGAGGAGGATGGAGGAGGAGGGGGGGAGGAGGAGAGGAGGAGGAGGAGGAGGAGGGGAGGAGGAGGAGGAGGAGGAGGAGGAGGAGGAGGCGGAGGAGGATGGAGGAGGAGGAGGAGGAGGAGACAGACAGACAGACATGCTCATGGAATCTCTCGTCAGCTTAGCCTCGAGACACACACAAATTGCAAGCCTGGATTATGAGGGGCGAATCTGTTCGCCGTTTTAAAAGCGTGTGAGCCGTGCACACGCCGTGGCATAGGCATACCGATCAGGGAGGGGGGACGCCAACACGGTGGAGCCACAAGGGCCAGGACCCACCTTGCTAGCTTCCCCACCCCACGATCAGGCGCCGCTGCCTGACGCACCGCCCCGAGAAGAGCCCCCCCCCCGACTGAGGCATTTGGCCTCCAGGGGGGCCTCCGAGGGGGCTGGGAACTACCTCTCCCACGAGAACCCCGACCGCGCCCACGGGGCGCCTGTCTGGGGAGAGCAATCGTCGGAACAGACGTCGGACGGGGGGGTCTAGGCGGGATATGGCCAGCAGCCTGTAAAGCCCTTAATCGCTCGCTCAAAGACCAATCGAACCCCGTCCACGACGAACAACAATTTGTCCGAGCCGCAGGCGCATCCGTTTCACTCACCGAGTCACGTACCTGAAGTGTGGTCTGCCCAGGCCCTCGACACTCCCCCTGGTCGCTCTCGCCATCGTCAGCTCGGCTGCTCGGGATCATCCTCACATGTCGTTGATCATCTTCGAGCCGGAAGAGCCGCCCCCGCCTTGTACACCGCCTTCATGTCCAGCATCGCCTCCCCCAGGAGCGCCGCCAGCTTGGGCCCGTGCGCGTGAGTCACCTCGATCGCATACATGACGAGACCCCTGTCCGAGCCTGTCGTCACCTGCTGTGGCTGGTCGTCCTTGCCCTTGCCCTTGTCCTTGCTGCCCTTGGTGGGCTTCCCCTTGTAGGCCTTCCACCGAAAGTACGGCACCAACGCAGCGATCTGCTGCGGGGAGAAGGGCATGATCACGTCCTTCCACATGCTGGCGAAGCCGTCCGTCAACTCCTTCTTGCTGAGATTCCCGTCCGTGCCCCACCACTTCACGGACGCCGCGAACACCGCCACGTGTGGGGGGCCCCTGCTCTCGAAGTCGACCTGCTCCCCTGCCTTTACCTTCTCTCGCAATGCCGTGGACTGGGCGTTGTACGCCTTGCCCATGGCCCCTTGCTGCTCGGACAGGCCGCCTTGTTTCACTTCGAACTTTTTGGACACGACAGCGGCCAGGTCCTGGATCTCGCGGGAATCCGCCAACACGAGGCGCCCCATCGTCTTCACCGTATCGCGCAAGCTCTTGCTGCCGCCGTCGTCGTCGTCGTCGTCGTCGTGGCGACCCTTCTTCTGCAGCGGCGGGGCCAGGGTCATCTCCGCGTCCGTCGGGAGCGCAAGCCCCGCTGGTGCGCCCTCCAGGGCCATGCTGCTGCTGCCGTCGACGGTCCGACTGAGGGCGGGTACGCTGAGGCAATACCTCCCGAGGAAGATGCTGAACCAGATGGCTACAGAGGTGATCCAAATCAGCACGCTCGACCCCGCATATTCGGCACTGCAGGGTATCAGGAGGTACGAGAGCGTGGAACTTCCGAGCCCCATCAGGAATACAGTAGCCCCGAACCAGAGACCGAGCTAGATGACGGCCCGCCACCACTCTAGAACTGAGAACCGTATGGCAAAACCACACAGTTGTTCGTAGGAGATAGCACATGTCCCGCATTTCGAACATGGTGTTTAGCTCGAAGATGGTTAAGGAGATCACGTTTAGTGCGGAGTACAGCCTCAACTTTTTAGCCACCTTCCTCCACCCATTCACACTTCCATTCCCGTGGGACCTCTGGGGCTGATGGAACAGGAGCCTCAGGGGGTTGGTAACCTGGAGGAGGCACTTGGGCACGAACCTGGGCCGATCGGATCACGGAGAAATCAATCTTGATAAAGTCGGGCACCAACTCGGGGTCCACGAAGCTGCAGGGGAACTCCGAGAGCTCTTCCATGACGAGGGCCTCCTCCCCAAGAATCTTCCAAGCCTCCTGAAAGTCCTTCTGGAGACGCCGAGCCCATGGGGACGCACACTTTGTCAAGCGGTCAAGGAGCACCGGCTTGTATCAGTCGAACTCCAGTGTAGGCA